TTATTGTGTACCTATTTTTAATTTTTTAAAAATGTACTCAAATTTCAATTACAAAGTAACTAACCTCTTTCTTTTTTTTTTGGTAAATAATATACCTATATATATATATATATATATATATATATTTTTTTTTTTTTTCATATGTACATTATTGGATATGTAATTTACATATATATATTTTTGGTTTGTAATTTTAGGGGGTGATATGTTAGAGGGTATAGCAACCATATTGATATGCTATTAATAGGGAGTTTTAATTACAATTATGGCAGGTAATGAAATGCATGGATAAATTATAAATTAAATATGAAGTTTGATGGCAATGATGTAAAAACATAGGAATACTATGACCTCTTATATCCTACTGGTTATTTAAGTTTGAAATTGGGTTTTACACATAGATTTATAGGATGATGAGTATATGTCTAGGAAATAGAAATTGTAGGGACCTATATTGGACAAGCCCTAAATTATATATTGCACCCACCAGTTTGGCTCTTTCTTTGTAATTGTATTTATTTCTTTCTCTCACCTCGACCAAACGAATCCACCGCCAATCTCATTTCATCAAACCCGCCACAAACCCTAGAAAGCTAGACAAACCAATGGAACCAAAAGGAGGTTTAGAAGTATATATTTGAACCCTTTTAAAACCCACTTTTGGGGATGCTTGAGTTGATTGAGATTGCATATATTTGTCCACTCCTATATGATGTGATAAAATTAGGGCATCTTCCATTTATTTGCCACTGTCCAGTGTCCACTAGTCCATTATTGATATTCACGTTTAACGTTGTCCCTGGTCCTCTCCTTTTACGGCTTTCAGGTTTTGTTTGGTGTCAATTACTCAATGCATGGTACGTAAATTCAACCATACATAGGGAAATTAGCAGATCGCTGAATTTAATGTTTTAATTGCTCTTCAATTTCCTATGGTCCCATAGAGAAAACCATATCTCTATATGAACAATAAAAGGGCATTGAGTTGTCTTTCTCATTTGTACTTCTCTATAAAACAAAATAAAAACATGATGTGGATTGATTCATTGAGTGGTCACTTCCTTGCTATTATATGTAGAAGTTTGATATATATGGTCATATGTTCAAATTTATGCTTGTGGTAAAATCCTTGAACTTTCGATGCGGTTAAACTGCGAATTTTTTTGGGTACACCTATGTACTAAGTACATAAGCAGTATTCACCGTTGGATTAGTTTTAAAAGCAGTCAACAATCATTATCTAACAACTGTTCAATGGTGGATACTGTCTATGTACTTAGTAAAATCGGTTAAACTATCGTAAATCTAAAAGCTCAGCCAAGTCCATACAAATGAAAACAAACATATAGATGCATATATTTAAAACCAACAAAAGCATATTCTTTTTTCTGTGAAATGTCTGTAATATATATCAAGTACTTCCAACTGACTCAGTTTGGTTAGAGATTTGGGGTACGTAGGGTAGGGGCCGGATACTTCACTTATATTTTTGTATGTGTCTTTATAATATAACTCTAGCTAAAGCTTTACACTTTAGAATCAACACAATTTTGATTATAAGCACAATATTTGTAGAGAAACTCGTCGTGTCACGTGTAACTCGGCGCTCACATGTTATAACCAAAGATGAAAATAAGTCGATATGGGTGATTGCCAATTTTTTCAAGGTTAGTAGATCTAGATGAGTAGATTAGCTTGAATTTATTTGGTTTAGATTTGAGTTAAGAAGGAATTTAAAACACAAGTAGGGTTGTGTGTGTCATCCTTGCTTATTTTTCCTCCTCCTTTCTTTCTATGTCAAATCAATGTTTGTTGAAATCAAGTATTTTCGCTATGTTTAAAGCTGGCATCTGGAGAATCTCAAGGACAAGGGAAAATCTTATATTAGGGAAAATTTTCAGATACGATAGAAGAAATTGTTTCACCCCTACTATCGGCCGCACATGACTTTTAGTACGTACCATACAATATTGTTTAATTAGCATTAATATATCAGAGATTAAAGGTGATAATTAACTTGAATTTATTCGGTTTAGATTTGATTTTAGTAGGAATTTAAAACACAATTAGGGTTGTGTGTGTCATCCTTGCTTCTTTTTCCTCTTCTTTCTTTTTATGTAAAATCAATGTAGGATAAAGGGGAAATCTCGGTTATATTAGGGAAATTTTCGGATACGAGAGAAGAAATTGCTTCACCCCTACTATTGACAAATATTCCATCGTTAGTACGTAACACATGACTTTTAGTACCAAACAAATTCTACAGTCCCTTTTGAATTATAATGTACTCTCTTTACTGTTTTAAATCAAAGATCAATCCGCTGTTAAGGAGAATATTGTTTAATTAGCATTATTTTTCTAATATATCAGTAATTAAAGATGATAAGAGAGCAGTAATCACATGCAGATAATTACATAAATCCAAATGAATAGTGCACTATACTATTTTTTTCCCCTCCTTTTTCAAATCCTCCCCATGCGTACTTGTTTTGAGTTTTGACTTTTATGCCCAAATTATGGGAAGAAGGCAAACAAAATATGCCCGAAGTCAGTCAGGCTCTGAGGTGAAAAGTGTGTTTGGATTTTTGCCTTGGGGTAGCCATTATTTTAAAGAGCGGTACCTTTTCTTGGGGTGCTTCGGTCGTCTTCATCCTCTGGTTTTTGCCTTTTGTTATGGGTTTGTTCTGTTTGTTTTCTTGTTTCGTTTTCAGAGAAAAAAAACCATAAAATCAAAAGCCTTCACGGGCTTGGAAAGAAGGGTTCTGTCGTACTATTGTTATTGGCAAAATAATAATAATTATTGTGATAGTATTCCCTGCGTTTTGTATTGTTTGAAGGCGCCTGATTTTTGTGGTCCAATAATCCAACGTCAACGCAAAATTGTTTGTTAATTAATTACAGCGTAGTAACTTTTGTAAAGATACCTTTGGGAACATGTTGGAATAAATCTAACCTTGAATTTCGCAGATATTTTGTTCTTCAGTGAGTAATTTGCTTCCGGACAAGGGAATAAAGAAGTCTCCCTTTCAAATGTAGTTTAAACCCCATGAGGAAATTTTTTTTATGAATTACGACGAGAAATTAAATTGATGTGTGAATTATGTACGTTGATTGTTTTGAAAGTAACATTTGTAAAGATACCTTTGGGAACATCTTGGAATAAGTCTAACCTTGAATTTCGCAGATATTTTGTTCTTCTGTGAGCAATTTGCTTCTAGAGAAGGGAATAAAGAAATCTCTCCCTTTCAAATGTAGTCACGAGATTTTTTTTTTATGGATTACGACAAAAAATTAAATTGATGTGTGAATTATGTATGTTGATTGATTTGAAAGTAAATTTTGTAAAGATACATTTGGAACATGTTGGAATAAATCTAACCTTGAATTTCACAGATATTTTGTTCTTCTGTGAGCAATTTGCTTCCAGACAATGGAATAAAGAATTCTCCCTTTCAAATGTAGTTTAAACCCCACAAGGAATTTATTTATTTATTTATGAATTACGACGAGAAATTAAATTGATGTGTGAATTATGTACGTTGATTGATTTGAAAGTTTAAGAACTAAAATGAGGACTTTTAAAAAGTTTAGGAACCACTCGTTCATACATTTTCTTTCATCAGTCTTCCTCTCTTCCTTATCCCTCCTTTTCTCCAGTAGATTTAAAAATTAAAATTAAAAACAAAATGGTGAACCCTTGTTTACATGTTTTCATATTTGAATCTTATTTTAATGTAATATGTACATAATGAAAATTTTATTTCTCTTCGTCCTCATTACCTATTCCTCTACCCCCTGACTCATTTTCCCCCCTCCATGGCCCATCCTCTGTTACTCCTCATAGCCATGGTTCAACATTCACGACTGGAAAAAAGATTGCATATATCAAGAACAACACTATTTTGCTATTTCTGACCAATTAAGTATTTTCATATTTTTAATAAACAAAGTCTCATAAATTTTAGATAAATTCATTGAATTGAATCTGGCCTCGAATGACAACCAGCTGAGCCATATTAATGCATGCACCATACAATACAAACTTATAATAAAGATTATATTGAAGAAAATAGGACAAAATTATTAATGTGGCATGCGTTACAAACTTTAAGGAAGCTATCCGCCCTGTTTTTAATTTATTTATGTCTTCAATTCGATGATCACAACAGTTCTTCTATTTCAATAATCTCGTGACGTTGAGTTCTGTGCCTCATGTGCTTTATCCAGAAATAAATATATGAAATTGGAAATTACATAATTATTTGCATCCGTACCACACCACATGGAACTTAATCATTTGCCTTCTTTTTTAATTGGGCAGGTCCACACTTTTGAGCTGCAGCCTACATAGGGTGGGCTACCTAAAGAAGATATTGGGGGAAGGGTCCATTTTCTTTTGCCAAAAATAGAAGGGTCCCATTTTCATGACATTACGAATTTGGTTAATATCATCAAATTCCAAACAACATAATTTGATTTGGGCCGTTGGCAATGGGCTGTTGTCAACTTGTATTGGGCTGACATTTGCAAATTGATAAAGACACGGCAGGCGAATTTTTAGGACGACTTTGTCTGCTCATTTGAAAGGAAAATAAAAAGAGAAAGAAAGAAAAGAAATGTATCAAGGATGCAATGAGATGGGGAGGGGGAGTCGCCCAAATTGGGTAGGAGAGAGGGCAACCGCCGACAACTGAGAAAACGTCCTAATTTTTAAAAGCGGGGTATTAGTGCCCCGAGCCTTAGCTCAATTGGAATGAGACCAATGAGGCGACAGTAGAGATCCCAGGTTCAAGTCTCCATATAACAAATGAGAAAAATAGAATATGATGAGTGTTATAAGTCATTGGGTGTCTACAATAAATAAAGGAGTGTGCGTAGTATTTGAGCCCGCCCATGACGAGCTGGATCAATTGGGCCGAGCCCAATCTAATAACTAGCTTTAACAATTTGTTTACGTGTACTATGGGAAATGGTCTGTCACACTCCTTCCGTTAAAAAGGTGATCTCAGTATCTTAGAGCTGAAATAACCGTATCTTGGATCCATAAACCCCATCACAGGTTCTCTCCCCGCCACTCCACCTGTTTGGTTCCGGAGAAAACTGTGGAAAATGAAAAGGAAAATCCACTTTCCACACCGACTCCTCAGTCCCCTTAAAATGTTTCCTACAGAGAAGTAGTGGTGTTGCAGATACTGAGATACGGAGAATAAAAAATGTCACAATTGTCAGCCCAAGTATTGAATAGCCTGAGGCCACGGCCGCCCAGTGCTTGTAGCTCAACGACAATGGCTTCGTTGTCGTATGGAACACAGACCCCAATAGCTTCTCTGAAGGTCTCTCCCGGTTTTTGGGGCTCGGCGGAGTTCAATTCGTGCCGTTTGAGCGTTTTGGGGAGTGATCGGTCTCGGAATTTGGCCCTGGTGAGGGACAGTGCAGAGAGAAGTGAGGGGGGTGTTGCTATGGAGACTGTTGGTGACAATCAGGTGAGGAAAGTTAGAGAGATAGGGTTAAATGCAGTGATAAATATAAAGTTAGAAACTTTTTGAAGTTTTTCTGGTTTATTGATAGGTTGAAGATTCACCAGGAAAATTGGAGGAGCGTGATTTTAGTGGCACACCTTATGTTCCTATCTATGTGATGTTACCAGTGAGTTTTTGATGCACTCTTTTATACTGTGTGTTGGCTTATTGTGGTTATCTTTTGCTTATGTGCATTTTCAAGTTTTTAACCGTCAATCAAGAACATTGATCAAGTGAAACAATATGTAAGTGTGATCCTAATTAACAAGTTAAACAATATTTTTGTTGGGTTTCAGTCGTTCAAATATATTCTTATTGGGTTTCAATCGTTATCGAGATTATTGATTAAGTGAAATCATGTTTGAATGTGTAATCTTGATTAACAATCTTGCTATATAATATAAATATACAGAGTGTCTGTATAGCAACACAATGGTACTCATGTATATACTTTTAATCCGGTTCCCGTTCAAAATCATATGGGCCTCATTCACAACATCACTGTTAAATTTGTATTTATTTGTTTATAATCTTCTGCATGATACTATGTTATTACAAGTCATGGCTAAATGCAGTTGTTCTTGTGTTTCATGGTGGCAGTTGGGTGTCATCAATATGAACTGTGAGCTAATTGAGCCAGAAGTTCTGTTAAATCAACTAAAAGTACTGAAGTCAGTTGGTGTTGATGGTGTTATGGTTGATTGCTGGTGGGGAATAGTAGAGGCACACAATCCACAGGGATACAATTGGAGTGGTTATAAGAGACTTTTCCAAATTGTGCGTGATCTTAACCTCAAGTTACAGGTGAGTGGTATAGAATTTTACCAGCATTTTTTTTTGACTTTGGGTGTGCTTTTCAATATGCCTTTGCCTCTTATGTTTCTTGTTTCCTTTTGGAAGTCATTACAGTGCACTAAAGGATGAAAAAAGTAGTTCTTAAATCTTGAATGGGTTTGAAATAAAATTCCGGTAAAGATTCCAAATTTCCAGTTTACACAAATGTTAACCTGAAATAATCTCACAATTTTGGTTTGTTTTATTAGAACCGATACTGTTTAGCATCATAGCAGAGGAAATGGTTCTGACTTGGTGTGCTTTTAGAGCATCTCCACCGCAGCAACAGAACCGGGCAAAAGGCCCCCCTCGCAAGCCTAAGGCAGCTCCAGCGCTGCAGCCTGCAGCCTGGTTTGGCGTGGGTCCCACCAGCCCGGGCAAGCCCAAGGGCAGGTTTCGCCTGGGCTTCAGCCCGAGGGCTGTGACGTCAGCGAGCAAAAAAATATTTAAAAAATCCAAAAATTTTATAAAAAATCCAAAAAAGTTTCAATTTTTTTAAAAAAAAATACCAAAAAATTATAGATGCTTTCCCTATAAATACATAACAATTTTATTCACTTTCTAAATTGTTTATATTTTGTTGCATAATATTTTTTTCCTTTCTTGCCTTAGACTTGCCCTAGACTTAGCCCTTATGGGTGGACCCACAAATGCAAGGGCTGACACTATTCACATGAATAGTGGCAGCCCTTGCTTGCCCTTGCCCTAGACTTAGCCCTTATGGGTGGAGATGCTCTTAGTTGCTTCAGGATATCCATTTGTTACTAAATAGGTTAAGTCCTATGATTTTTTGAAATTAAATTAAGCGAATTAAACTTCATCATACTGCTTATCCTTAAGGTTATAAACATACATTCATTACAATGGTCCAAAAACATAAAATTATTTCCTTTAGATCGTCTTGGAAACATTCCTAGAGCCAACATTTGTCAGTGTCTCAGTCAAGATACTTATTCTGAAACAGTTGAAAAAGCTATGATTTATACAGAGAATTCATTTGGGTGATTTGTACTAAAACTAGCCTTTTGATTAGTTTTCATTAGCAAATGGTTGGTTACTGTCCTTGGTAGGTAGCATTATAGTCTTATGTGGATTGATGAAAAGCAAATATATCAGTAGTTCTCTTTTTGTATAATATTTTGTGAGACTGCTTATCTGTTAAATCTCATTTTATATGGGGTATAGCTTTTCTGCTTTATAGTTTTCCTCTGAAGATGAATGTCAGATACGGTTCCATTATCTAACTCTATATTGCCATAGGTTGTGATGTCATTCCATGAATGTGGAGGCAATGTTGGGGATGATGTACATATCCCACTTCCGCACTGGGTGACAGAAATTGGTCAAAAAAATCCTGATATATATTTTACTGATAAAGAGGGGAAACGCAACAAGGAATGTCTCACATGGGGAATTGATAAGGTGCGGGTTTTAAGAGGCCGGACTGCTGTTGAGGTATAGCATTCTAGAACTACGAAATTATGCTGTTTTGTACTCTTTCTACGGAATGTCATTGCTCTATCTATATATGTCTTGTTTTAAAGGTTTCACTCATGTTTTAAAAAGTAACTTTTGCAAAAATCTTTTCCTTTTGTATGCTATGGGAATTATAACTTATCTTTTCCCACATTCTTTTTAAGACATTTTCTGCTTGATGCAGAACTCAAAATCTGAGCTTCTATTTTGTTATTTTATAATGAAACTGATGCAGGTTTACTTCGACTACATGAGGAGCTTCAGAGTCGAATTTGATGAATTTTTTGAGGGAGGAATAATCTCGGAGATTGAAGTTGGACTAGGTCCATGTGGGGAGCTACGCTATCCTTCTTATCCTGAAAATCATGGATGGAAATATCCTGGTATTGGTGAATTCCAGGTAAATTAAAATGGTGACCATTCTACTTTTCACTTTCCATTACTGGGAGACTGATAAGGTCTTGGCATGCATGATAATTAGTCACAGATTATGTTAATAGCCCTTCATTCATCTTGGTTATGACCTTTAAGCCTAGCGCATATAATTTATCATTTCTATCTAAACTGTGCAACAGTTCTCTGATTCGACCTTGTTCAGTGCAGTGTTATGATTGGTACTTGATGAAGAATCTGAAGGAGGCTGCAGAAGCAAGGGGCCACTCCTTCTGGGGCAGAGCACCGGATAATACAGGTTCTTATAATTCTCAACCACATGAAACAGGGTTTTTCCGTGATGGAGGTGATTATGATAGCTACTATGGCAGATTCTTCCTCAACTGGTACTCCCGTTTTTTGGTTGATCATGGTGATCGTGTACTTGCTCTGGCCAATTTAGCTTTCGAAGGCACTTGCATTGCTGCAAAGGTGAGTCACTTTCTTGGAGATTAGTTCTTCACATGTTTTCTTTTCGTGGAGTTGCTTTATTTGATGTATGAGCAGGTATCAGGTATTCACTGGTGGTACAAGACTGCCAGCCACCCTGCTGAGTTAACCGCTGGATTTTACAACCCCTGCAACCATGATGGGTATGCTCCAATTGCAGCAATGTTGAAAAAGCATGAGGCTGCCCTGAATTTCACATGTGTTGAAATGCGTACGTTAGACCAGCATGAGGGCTTTCCAGAAGCACTGGCAGACCCTGAGGGATTAGTTTGGCAGGTAGCTAGCACAGATTTAATTTCTTTCTTGCTTGGGTCTGGTTTTTATATTTGAAATTTAACCAAGTGTCTGTGTCAGTTTGTGTATACTTCTGTACAGAAATGTTGTTTGTAAAGCATTTTTGTTTATTTGATGTTTTTTTTTTCGGAATTCCTTTTTGTGGTCAGGTGCTGAATGCTGCATGGGATGCTAACATTCCGGTTGCCAGTGAGAATGCTCTTACATGCCATGACAGAGAAGGCTACAATAAGATATTGGCAAATGCTAAGCCCCAAAATGATCCAGATGGCAGGCATTTATCAGCGTTTACCTACCTCAGATTAAGCCCTGTTCTCTTGGAGGGGCATAACTTCATGGAGTTCGAACGATTTGTCAAGAAAATGCATGGTAACAGAACACACATAGTCTAGTGTTTTCTTTCTCTCTTTCTTTTTTGCTTTTGGCCTGATCTCATTCTGTAGGGTTTTGAAATCATGATTTATCCATGCCTCACTTCTAAGATAATTGCAAATGCAGGAGAGGCCGCACCGAAATCCTGATCTTTAGATGAACTCAAATGAATGAAAGGGATTTGGACATACGGGACCTCAAGTGCATTGATGTTACTCTTAACTACTTGAGCTAAAGCCCCTTGCTAAGTCCAGAGCAGTTTAATACTGTATAATAAGGAATAAAATGAATGTATAGCATTCTACAAGTTTGTGTTGGTCACAAACTGATCAAACTGTGGTTACAAACTTGTTCCTTTCCTTATCCTAAATTATAATTATTTTAGAACGTCGTTATCTACAGTTGATAATCGTCCATTCTAAATTGATATATTTAACGTTGCATAATGCACAACAATACCCGTCAATGTTACAGTTAACGTTGTGTAATGCATGCTCAAACATGTCGACAATAACGACGGTCCATCTAAAACTTTATAATTAAGAACAAATAATTATAATTATAATTATTTAATTCCTAACTAATGGGGTCTAATATATTAGAAAAGGATTTTAGTTTATAGACCATCATCTTCATTTTGTAATTTAAACTATCGCTTCTATTTTTTTTTTAATAAAAAGGACTCATAATCGTTCATCCACGTGGTGACATTACCGTTCATATTCACACAACATTTCACTTTCACAACAGTTTTACAACTACCTGGCGCCAAAAAAAACAGTTCACGTGATTGCACCATCAGGATACACCCAAATCTCGTGTTCCGGATCTCTCAAGCCCACGCTCTGGGCACGTGCGACTCGTGTCACTCCACACGCCCAACCCGTGAAACGTATGCCCTTCACAGCACTCGCTCATACACACACGCCTCGTTCGTGCCAAACAAACCCCCCAACACACGCTCACACGCGTGACAATCCCTAAGCCATCTTCCTCGCATGCTCGCTCGCTCGCACGCTTCTCCTTCTCCAATCCCTCTCCAGCCCGACCCGACCCGCCGACCCCTCAGTCTTCCTTGTCGGAGCCCCGCCTTCTCCCCCTTAAACGGCGCCGTAATCCAGTTCCGGTCGCCGGAAAACTCGGGCACGATTTCCCGGTGAATCAGTTCTGGAAATGGAAGAGAAGATGGATCGGTGAAATGAATGGTGGCGTGAGCTTTTACTGAGGACGAGAAGGTGGAATTCGAGGGAAAAATGGAGCTTTTCGGCCAATGTGGAGTCGATTTTGCGAGACTTGGGTGTTCCGAGCTGGTTTGAGAAGGTAACTTAGCTCAGGACTTGGAAATTTTTTTGCTTTTTGGCTACTGAGAAAGTTGTTTCCGAGAAAATTTCAGAGCTTTCTCTTTTGTGAGCATAGGTGCGTGGAAAGTAATACCAATGAAGAATGAAGTCTTCTAATTTCTGTCTGTTCTTTTGCTTTGGTTTTTCATGGAAGTCAACTCATTTAAGCCAGATAGGTGTAACCTAGTTACTTTAGTATTTTCTGTGTCTGTAATTTTAACTAAAGTAGAATTATTCTTGTTCATTTGAACCTCCAACTGTTCTGTCTCTGTCTCTGTTCCCCTCCCCTACTCCCTCCTTTGGGCGGTATGTTGGTTTTAATTAATATGAGATATGGCTAATTTTGAAGTCCCAATTTTTGACAGAAAATTCTAAATTAGCGTGGAACTCAGAATCAGTAGGATGATTTCTGCATTGTTTGGAACAATTTAATCCTTCCAGTGGTTGTGTGGGAAGTTAAGCAGTTATGGTTTCTACATTCATGATAGAAGGATCAAGAAACTAGGATAATCAGGGGGTCAAAAGTATAGGATTAAGGGAATAAGGAGAATATGGCTACGGATATCCAGAAGTTAATTGGAACAAGTGAAGAAGATGAGGACGAAGAAATGGAGATGGACGTGAAAGAAGAGGGCGATGATGATGATGAAGAAGATGGGGAGAAGCATGTTGATGCCACCTCTATGATTGCGGGGGTTGATGGAGGAATGCCAACAAGAAGTAGTAATAATAACCGGTTTCAGCAGCACCATCAAATTCAAGAACAAGTCGGGACCCCAGGAGGGGGAGGAGTCAGGAGGTGTAGACCGATAGAGGAGAAGGAGAGAACCAAGTTAAGAGAGCGGCAGCGCAGGGCGATCACTGCAAGGATCTTAGCAGGGTTACGGAGGCATGGAAATTATAATCTTAGAGTTAGGGCTGATATCAATGATGTAATTGCGGCTTTGGCTAGGGAAGCTGGCTGGGTTGTTCTTCCAGATGGAACAACGTTTCCTGCAAAATCTCAGGTACTTGTCTCTCAGGGAAGAAGCTTGTTTATGCTGTTTTGAAAGTATTTGCTTTGTTTATTTGAGAGAGAGAGAGTGAGAGAGAGAGAGAGCACCACTGCATCAACGAATTCACAGAGAGAGAGAGAGAGAGAGAGAGAGAGAGAGAGAGAGAGAGAGCGGGTGCATCCTATTGTGGATTCTCATTTCTAACAAATTTCAGAATGGGAATGCTTTCTATTCCACTTTTACAGGGCCCAAGGCCTGCTGGTGTCAATTCTGCGGCAGTATCTTCCCAAATGGTGTCCCCACAAACTCCTGCTTCCCTTAAAGGAGTTACTTCTGCCTATCGGAGCTCTGGGGAGCTTAATGCTTGTAACATGAAAGGTGTTTTTATTCCTAGTTCATCACCTTATGATCTCCCCTCAAGTGCTCGGTCACAAAATTCATCCATTGTGGGAGATGGAGGAGGTCAAACAGATAGCCATCCTCTTATTGGTGGTTCCATGGATAATGTTGGTGACAAACAGGTACTATGACTAGAGCTATGCTACAACCCACACCTACAAAAGAAAACGATATCATAAAATTCTTTTACTTCGTAATGTGACACATTATGTGTCTTGCCATCAAGCGTGGTGATATGTGTGTGACACATTCAGGGGACAAGTGTGAGTGAATTGTGTGGCAATCTATATGAGTAGCCATGTTACAAAGTAAAAGAATTATGTAAAGTTCTGTACACATAGCATTTTCCTTATGACTAAGTTGTTCAAAATTCAATCTCCTAAAACAAAGTTGTTTAGACTTTAATGGTTATATCTCTTGGTAAGCTGTTGTTAAATTCTAATATATGGTCATTCTTTGTATCATCTTGGTTGATTTTGCTATCACATATCACATAAGGCGATAAATAGCCTATTTAACACTAGCCTTTATTAGAAGATGCATGGAGGCATGGCTAGTCTCTGGTAGCCTGTTGGAGTTGTGCTACATACACAACCCAGCAGGTCCTGGGTTCGAGACTGACAGGTGTTTCTCTAAACCAATGTATGGAGGCATGACTCTGCAGCAAATAATGGATGTATACCTTCTTCATTTATGATTATAACTGCATTGAATTTACTAGTACCCTATAAGTAGTGAAATTCTGTTTCTCATATAGCTCATTTAAATTTCTAGTAATAATCATTATTTGAATGTTAAGTTGTTGCTTCCTTGTTGGGCAGTGTCACATCCTTAAACGCACTTCGAAATCTTTCTTGTAGATTGTTGACATGCCCCTGAAGTTACCAGAACGTGATTACTCCAACACCGCATGCATTCCTGTTTATGTGATGCTACCTGTGAGTTGTGCAATTTTACTTTATTCTTTTGCTATCTAAGTTATAATTTTTCTTCTCTAGTTTTTCAGTACCGTGCTTTTCTACTCAATGTCCTGCGTTAGAGGTTGCCATGTCAAGGAGTGCAAGACTTATTTGATAGATATGGTTGTTTTTAAATTTTAGTCTCTGATATTTATGGTTATATTGTGTCATATCTTTTGGTGGCAGCTAGGTGTCATTAATATGAAGTGTGAGATGGTTGATCCAGATGGTCTACTAAAGCAGCTAAGGATATTGAAATCAGTTAACGTTGATGGTGTTATGGTTGATTGCTGGTGGGGAATAGTAGAAGGACATGCTCCAGGGGAGTATAACTGGAATGGATACAAGAGGCTCTTTCAGATGGTGTGCGAGCTGAAGCTGAAGCTGCAGGTCAGTTTTATATGGGCATGTTTTTTCACTTGCAGAATCTTTTTGCTCTTAGTGGTCATGTAAACATGTGCGGTTAATAGTTGCTATCTTCGTGGTCATCTGTATCTTTTCCATAGTTTTCCTGTAATTCTTGGCAAACGTCTGAGACTTTGTCTGTAAAATGTGGGAATCAAGGAACTTACTCCCCTTTATCGTACTGTGAATTCACTCACTATTAACCATTACTGTAAAGTGTGGAGATAGTTTATTCATTTAGACATGGTTCTTTGGTTAGTTCTTCTGAAAATTTATTCTGGGTCTGATGGGAAACTTCCCTGTTTCAGGTTGTGATGTCATTTCATGAATGTGGAGGCAATGTTGGTGACGATGTATGTATTCCACTGCCCCATTGGGTGGCTGAAATTGGTAGAAGCAACCCTGACATATTTTTCACTGATAGAGAGGGAAGACGTAATCCTGAATGCCTTTCATGGGGAATTGACAAGGAGCGAGTTTTAAGAGGCCGAACAGCTGTTGAGGTATTACATTCAGATATGATAAATCAGTCATTAATCTTTCTGTTTGAATTTGGTATTAAACCTGGTAGTGATCAACTCTGTACATCTATTGATCTATAGACTTGGTTGTGTGCGGAAAATTTCATTACTGCCATATACAGATGGCAGTAATTCTGTATTAGTGAACCATGTTTTGAAGGGTAGTCCTATGTAGGCAGCGCCAAAATGCTAATGTTTTAACTAATATAGGTGTACTTTGACTGCATGAGAAGCTTCCGTGTAGAGTTCGACGAGTACTTTAAAAATGGTAATATCTCCATGATTCAAGTTGGACTAGGTCCGTGTGGGGAATTACGATACCCATCTTGTCCTGTAAAGCATGGTTGGAGATATCCTGGCATTGGTGAATTTCAGGTAACTTTTTGAAATATTATCTGTTTATCAAGTGAATGAGTCTGTCGATTGCTGCAGAATTGGAGCACTGCATTTGCAAGTTGCGTTCTTCACTCTGAACATTTAAAAACATGCAGTGTTATGATCTGTATTTGCTGAAAAGTCTGAGGAAGGCGGCAGAAGCAAGGGGACACTCCTTCTGGGGTAGAGGTCCAGATAATGCAGGTTCTTATAATTCCCGGCCACATGAAACCGGTTTCTTTTGCGATGGGGGTGATTATGATAGCTACTATGGCAGGTTCTTCCTTAATTGGTACTCTCGAGTTTTAGTTGATCATGGTGATCGTGTGCTTTCTCTAGCAAAGTTAGCTTTCAATGGCACCTGCATTGCTGCAAAGGTGAGTCAGCTTCCATCATTTTGAACATAC